ATGGTCTTGAACTCCTGACCTCAAGTGAGGTAAAGTCCGCCTTGGCTTCTTAAAGTTCTGGAATTACAGGCTTGAGCCACTGCACCCAGCCAAGACATTGGAGAATTGAGAGACAGATCCCACAGCTTTAAAACAAAACAAAGCAAAACCAAAACCATCAGATATGATGGGTTGAGTCCCCTCCATGCCAGGCACTCAGGAAGTGCTGGTAAACAAAACATGGTTCTTGTCCTGAGGGATCTTTTTAGGGAGACAGTAAAACATGTAATTCCAGTTCAGTGTGACTGTGAAGTGGTAGAAGGTTACCTCATTGGGACTGGGGCTCAGGGACAGTGAGCTAGGCTGTTGCCTAAGAAAGTTCCAGAAGTCAGAGATTACGTAGCATTGCTCAATGAGTATATAATGAGCTGCTGTGTGCCAAATAGGACGCTGGCTTCTGTAAGATAAAGGAATATGTAATTTTAATAATATATTTAAATAGCATTATTCAAACTATGTATTGGCTGGGTGTGGTTGGTCAGGCATGGTGGCTCATGCTTGTAATTCCAGCATTTTGGGAGGCTGAGGCGGTTATATCACTTGGGGTCAGGAGTTCAAGACCAGCTTGGCCAATATGGTGAAACTCTGTCTCTACTAAAAATACAAAAATTAGCTGAGCATGGTGGCGCGTGCCTGTAATCCCAGCTACTTAGGAGGTGGAGGCAGGGGCATGGCTTGAACCCAGGAGGAGGAGATTGCAGTGAGCTGAGATCATGCCACTGCACTCCAGTCTGGGCAACAGAGTAAGACTTCGTCTAAAAAAAATAAGCATTATGTTATTAATATATTAAATGTAAGATTATGAATTCTATTATTTATTAGTATTATTTAATAGTCATAATAGCAGACATTTACTGAGCATTTACCAGATGTTAGATACTGTGGCAACTGCCACCTGAAACATGGTCAGTGATACATGGACTGCATGTGTGACGGTGGCGCCCCGGGATGATTATAATGGAGCTGAGACATTCCTGTTGCCTCGTTTTCGCTGTCGTGATGTGTGACGTCGTGCGTTACTCACATTTGTGGTGATGCTGCGGTCAACACACCGACTGCACTGCCAGTTGCATAAAGCCCAGCACAGACAGTTATGTGCGGTACCTAATGCTTGATCATTCCGTGTTATAAGGTACAGACTGTGTTACTGGTTTATGTATTTGCTATGCTGTACTTTTTATTGTTGCTTTAGAGTATACTCCCTCTACTTATTTAGATAAAAACAGTCAACGGTAGAACAGCCTCAGGCAGGTCCTCCAGGAGGTATCCGGATTTTTAGGCACCTGGCCTAAAAACTGTTTTACACTGTTTTGTTATCATTGTTATCGTAGAAGATGGCAGCTCCATGCGTGATCCTTCCCCTGAGGACCTTCCAGTGGGACGACAAGATGTGGAGGTGGAAGGTGATGATACTGATGATCCCAATCCTGTGTCGATCTAGGCTAATGTCTGTGTTTGTGTTTTTTGTTTTCGTTTTTTGAGGTGGAGTCTCACTGTGGTGCCAGGCTGGAGTGCAGTGGTGTGATCATGGCTCACTGTGACCTCTGCCTCAGCCTCCCAAGTAGCTGGGATTACAGGTGTGCACCACCATGCCCGGCTAATTTTTATATTTTTAGTAGAGATGGGGTTTCACCATGTTGGCCATGCTGGTCTGGAACTCTGACCTCAGGTGATCCACCTGCCTCGGCCTCCCAAAGTCCTGGGATTACAGGCGTGAACTACTGCACCTGGCCTAAAAAATCTTTTACATTGTGTATGTGTGTGCTTTCTTTTTTTTTTTCTTTTGAGACAGAGTCTGGTTCTATCATCTGGCTGGAGTGCAGTGGTGCGATCTTGGCTCACTGCAACCTCCGCAGTTCAAGCAATTCTCCTACCTTAGCCTCCCGAGTAGCTGGGATTGCAGGCATGTGCTGCCACACCCAGCTGATTTTTGTATTTTTAGTAGAGACGGGGTTTCACCATGTTGGCCAGGATGGGTCATGATCTCTTGACCTCATGATCTGCCCACCTCGGCCCCCCAAAGTGCTGGGATTACAGGTGTGTGCCACCGTGCCCGGCCTATACTGCATTTTTTCTGTACCGTTTCCATGACTTGGTATGTTTAGATACACAACTACTTATTGTGGTGTTATAGTTGCCTGTGGTATCCAGTGCCGTCACATGCTGTACAGGTTGGCTGTCTAGGAGCAGTAGCTGTATCATTTAGCCTAGGTGTGTGGTACGCCATACCTAAGTTCGTGTAAATGCACACTGTGATGTTTGCGCCATGACAAAATCTCCTAAAGAATGCGTTTTCAGGACATACCCAAACCCGTTAAGTGACGCATGGCTGTATTTCACATGAATTTTCACACTACATCTGCACAGCCATTCAATAAAATAGATACTGTTGTCACCACCATTTTATTTTTTTTTATCGTTATCATATTTTGAGATGGAGTCCTGTTCTTTCACCCAGGCTGGAGTACAATGGCACGATCTTGGCTCACTGTAACCTCTGCCTCCTGGGTTCAAGCAATTCTTCTGCCTCAGTCTCCTGAGTAGCTGGGATTACAGGCATGCGCCACCATGCCTGGCTAATTTTGTATTTTTAGTAGAGATGGGCTTTCTCCACGTTGGTCAGGCTGGTCTGTCACTCCTGACCTCAGGTGATCTGCCCGCCTCGACCTCCCAAAGTGCTGGGATTACAGGCGTTAGCCACTGTGCCTGGCCCTTTCTGCCTTTATTCTTTCAGTCTTCAGCTCATACTCTTGAGAGTCAATTGTCCTATGTTTTTCTATTTTTAGAAATATTTTTGTGGAGATGGGGACTCTCACAATGTTGCCCAGGCTGGTCTCGAACTCCTGGCCTCAATTGATCCTCCCACCTTGGCCTCCCAAAGTGCCGAGGTTATTGGTGTGAGCCACTCACTGTGTCTGATGTGTTTTGCTTTGGGGAGAATCTCCTCTGATGCAGCCCAAAGCTTCTTGAGAGCAGGGGACACTTTTTTGCATGTGATCTCTTTCACGTGATTTTCCAAAATACCTTGCACACTGAGTAATGGATGGTGAGTTTATTTGGTTCTGTTTTAAAAATCCCCAGTAACGGAATTGTCTTCACAGTGGTTTAGAGAGCCTGCTTTTCTAAATGTTTTTGTTGCTGATAAATTCTTGAAAACATTCCCCCTCCACTTTCTTCCTCTGGATTTCATCTCTGTAAATCATCTCCGCCTTCTATGTGAGGGTTGCTCACTGTGTGCATGGATTAGATGCAGTGAGTGTCTAATCCATGGGGCTTTGCCCTGTCTCCCCCTTGCCTGTTTACAGGACTTTTTCCTTGGATACCGCCTTGCTGTGCTTGGGAAAGGGTGAGTTGTCAGGGAACTGCCATTAGGATCCTGCTTTAGTGTTGCGGCTACTCCAAAAAAGACTCCTGGCCAGTAATGGCCCAAAGCTGAACATAAATGACATTTGGCTTCTTCTGTCCTTCCATTCGTTGGGTATCCTGGGTGGGCTGTGTCCTGAGGTATCCTGCTGAATGCCATTACTCTAGTACTTCCTTGTTGGTATTTCCCCCTCAAACATGGCTTATTGTGGTCTTGACGTTATTTATGAGAAGCAGCGTGTATTTGGCGATTTTCTTTTTTTTTGAGACGAAGCCTCAGGCTGGAGTGCAGTGGTGCAATCTCGGCTCACTGCAACCTCAACCTCCCGGTTCAAGTGATTCTTCCACCTCAGGCTCCCAAGTAGCTGGGACTGTAAGTGCACATCACCACACCTGGCTAATGTTTTTTTATTTTTTTATTACAGACGGGGTTTCACCATGTCAGCCAGGATGGTCTCGATCTCTTGACCTCGTGATCTGCCTGCCTCAGCCTCCCAAAGTGCTGGGATTATAGGTGTGAGCTACTGTGCCCGGCTGGCGATTTTCATTTTTTACCCGTGTAGATTGTGCCCCTTTGCAGTTTTATGTCTTTTGGTCTGTATGCCGATTTCTCCAAAATCACAGCATGCAGCTGGGCACGGTGGCACACGCCTGTAATTTCAGCACTTTGGAAGGCCGAGGTAGGCGGATCACTTGAGGCCAGGAGCTCGAGACCAGCCTGGCCAACACAGTGAAACCATGTCTCTACTAAAAATACAGAAGTCAGCTAGGTGTGGTGGTAGGCTTCTGAAGTCCCGGCTACTCCTGAGGCTGAGGCAGGAGAATCGCTTGAACCTGGGAGGTGGAAGGTTGCAATCAGCTGACATCATACCACTGCACTGCAGTCTGGGCAACAGAAGGAGACTCTAAATGAATGGATGAATGAATGAATGAATAACATGGCTATGGTGTTTGGGTTTCTGCTTGGCACTGGTACTTCCTTAGAGACTTGATGGGTCCTTTACCCCGTCAGCATTCCTGTGGCTTAAGTACTATTTGACAGATGAGGAGAACAGACTGGCCTCGGGTCACATGACTAAAAGAATAACTCACAGGGCCGGGATTTGAACCTAGAGCTGTGTGAAGAGGCTTCTGGAAGGCTGTGCTGACTGAGATGGAACAGACATTTCCAGAACTGGCTTTGAACCTCCTCTGGGGGAGGTCCACCACCAGCCACTGGTCCAGGGAGTGCTGCCAGGGGGACCCTCATGTGATAGTGTGAAGAGTCCTTATCAGTTTATTATTGAGCCGTCAGAGCTGTGACTCCCGTCTCCCTTCTCCCGAGGCCCTGTGTAGGCCTTGTCTGGAAGCTGGAGCTGGAAATTCTTTTAGGCTTCTGCAGGTGAGGATTCGGGGGTCTGGATTCCTCCACCTGACTCACACTCCCAAGAAATCTCTGTGCTGAGAGAGGAACAGGCTTAGTCACCATTTTTTTTTTTTTTTTGAGACAGT